CAGTGCTCTTGGCTTAACAGGATCAAGTGCATATGCTAGTCAGTCCTTCAATATCTGACCCTCTTGGAATTTGATTCTGGCCATGTTCTTTCTCTGTCTCCCTGTCTCTTCCTCCCTCCCCTTCTCCACCCCACCCCTCTCCCACTAGTTCTTCTAAGGAGCCAGGGATGAACCCCAACCTGGGTTAGGCACCCATTCTCAGTGCTTCCCATCAAAACTTAGAGCCTTCTTCATCCCTCTGTTTTTCATTTAATACCCAAATTGTTTTCTTGACATTCCCCCCTGCAAGACTGAGTAACTAGATGGCATCTAGAATAGACAGGCGAGAAATTCTATGAGAGGACCTGGCTCACAGAAGAGGTTTGGTAACTACCTATCAGATAATCAAAGAGTAGGGCCTAGTGATCTGCTGTCTCCAGGTTTACTATCAAAATTAACAAGAACAGTCACGGAGCATCCACTGTATGTGTGGCACCGTAAGGAAGTTGCTACAAAATGTGTTGCCAAACAGACCCATGAAAGGATGCTCAACATCACTCATCGTCAGGGAAATACAAATCAAAACCACGATGAGATACCACATCACACCTATCAGAGTGGCTAAAATTAACAACTCAGCAAACAACAGATGTCGGCAAGGATGCGGAGAAAGGGGAACCCTTTTGCACTGTTGTTAAGAATGCAAACTGGTGCAGCCACTCTGGAAAACAGTATGGAGGTTCCTCAAAAAAATTAAAAATAGAACTGCCCTATGATCCAGCAATAACACTACTAGCAATTTATTCAAAGGATACAAAAATGCTGATTCCAAGGGGCACATGCACCCCAATGCTTATAGCACTATAAGTAAAAACCCTTTGAAATTGTTAGCCAAATTATGGAAAAAGCCCAAATGTCAACCAATGAATGGATAAAGAAGATGTGTGTGTATACACACACACACACACACACACACACGAATACTACCCCGCGATGAAAAAGAATGAAATCTTGCCATTTGCAACAACGTGGATAGAACTGGAAGGGATGATGTTAAACAAGATACATCAGTCAGAGAAAGGCAAATCCCATATGACTTCACTCATATGTATAGTTTGAGAAACTTAACGGATGATCATAGGGGAAGGGAAGGAAAAATAAGATAAAAACAGAGAGGGAGGCAAACCATAAGAAACTCTTAAACACAGAATGGGTGATGGACACTGAAGAAGGCACTTGTTGGGATGAGCACTGGATGTTGTTGGTTAGTGGTGAATCACAGGAATCTACTCCTGAAGCCAAGACTACACTGTATGTTAGCTAACTTGAGAATTAAAAATGTCTTGCCACTTTTCCCCAGTGGGCCCCAAGTTTCCCCATCTTTAAAATGGGAGTTGTTTGACCTCTTGGTCTTTGAGCAATCTCCCAACTCCTACATTTTGTTTCAAGAACTTGCTCAAATCACTTGACTATTAAGCAGAAGTAAACATCAATACTGGTCTGTCAATTACAACTCCAATGCTCATTCATCAAAGCTCAAATACTATTTTGTAAGCATCCCGACTGAGAAGCATTCCCAGCTCAAAAATGCTAGGATTCTCTTTTGCCAAAACTGTGTGACTAAATGCAAACTTACCTGGTTGAGGGAGTACACTGAGGTATAACCTCACTATAGGTTTGGAAAAAGACTCCTCAACCTTTCTGTCTGGGTGCCTAAACTATGTAACAAAATATATTCTTATAGAATTCCCTTGAGCCTTCTTTTGGGGGGGGGGCGGATACATTTAGTACAGCCAAAACAGCGAAGGATATCTAATTGTTCAGGTATCTATTTTTTAAAAATGTTTATTTACTTATTTTGAGAGAGAGTACAGAAGCAGGGGGAGGGGCAGAGAGAGGGGGAGAGAGAGAACCCCAAGCAGGTTCCCTGCTGTCAGCATGATGTCCATTGCGGGCTCAATCCCACAAACTGTGGGATAACCTGAGATCCAGAGTCAGACGCTTAACCAACTGAGCCACTCAGGCACCTCCACTTGTTCAGGTATCTATTGATGCAGAAGAAACCACTCCAAAACTGAGTGCCCTAAAACAATAAATTATTTCTCTGCATCCTACAATCTTCTGAAAGATTAAAACTGATGCCTGATCTCCTTGAAAACCTGTTTAATCTTAAATCACCTCATTCAAGTTCTCCCAGGTGCTCAGGCTTCACACCTTGGAGTCACAGATGATTCATTCCCACCCCCCACCCTCCACAAATCCTTCTGACTCGACTCTCATGATGTATCCAGAATCTGACCATTTCTAGCCACCACTACTAACACCCTGGCCTGAGGCACCATGCCCTCTTGCTTGGTGAGCCAGAGTCTATGCTTGCACTCTCGATCCATCATCTATTTTCAAAACAGTAGCCAGGTGATCCTTTTAAAATGTAGGCTGGGGGCACTTGGGTGGCTCAGTCGGTTGAGCCTCCTACTCTTGTTCAAGGCTCAGTTATAATCCCAGGGCCGTAGGACTGAGCCCCGTGTTGGAGCCTGTTTGGGATTCTCTCTCTCTCAACATAAACAAACATTTAAAAAAACAAAACTTAAGCTGGATCATTCTATTATGCCACTCAGATCTCCCTCCCTCTGAGAGGAAAATCTGAAGTTCCAGGGCCCTGCAATGATCTGACCACGCTCGGCTTTCTCGACACCAGCCATTCTGGACAGTTTGCTACTCCTGAACACACCAGAAAAGCTTCTGCCGCAGGGCCTTTGCATTCACTATTCTCTCTCTCTGGAATATTTTCCCCTAAGATATCCACATGGCCAACTTCCTCACTTCCTTCAAGTTTCTGTTCAAGTATCACCTGTGCAAGCTGCTCTTGAAACTATCCCATTTAAAATAGGCTCACCTGCTGCCTCGACATCCCTACACTCTTCCCCGCTTTGTGTTTCTACATTGGAACCACTGTGATCCAACCTAATATATGCGTATAACATATCTATGTATATTATAATTGTTATTACATGGTATTTATTATACATTCTATATAAGGTATAAGGTATAGTAATATATATAATACATATTGTATAATGTCATAAATATACAGTGTATGTTTTCTCCACTAGAGTAGGTTTTATAAAGGCAGCATTTTTGGCTGGCTCATCGCTGCACCTGCAACAGCTTAAATGGGCCCTGGAAACACAGCACAGGTGCCCAGGACAAACAGACTGAAGTGACGAATATTGTGTTGACTTGTTAAAAATAAAACAAAATCCTTTCTTTCTTTTAAATGTTTATTTTTGAGACAGAGAGAGACAGAGCATGAACAGGGGAGGGGCAGAGAGAGAGGGAGACACAGAATCTGAAACAGGCTCCAGGCTCTCAGCTGGCAGCACAGAGCCCGACGCAGGGCCCGAACTCACGGACCACGAGATCATGACCTGAGCCGATGACCTGAGCTGAAGTCGGAGGCCTAACCGACTGAGCCACCCAGGCGCCCCCAAAATCCTCTTTCTAAGAGGAGAAGGGACCCATATTTCTCTGATTTTTCCCCCTTACATGAACAGAAAAAGTTGCATAACCACATTAGCTAAAGTGCCCTTTGTGTTTGCTTTTTTTTTTTTCTAAATTGCCTAACGTTCTGCTTGTTTTCTTGTTATCCTTGCTAGCGATACCTGGCTTACAGCTGGCACTTAGTATTTGTATCCGTGCTCCAGCTCTGCTACTGACCAGATGTAGGATACTGAGCAAATGACATTCTGACCATCAGTTTCATCCCCCCTCTCTCTCTGTCCATATATATACATGTATGGATATAAACATGTATATGTATAAACAAAGGGGTAAAAGGCATCGACCTCACGGTGTTGTCCATGTAAATAAATTCAAACAGTGGGTGCCATGCCACGTCTTGGTAGATGAGGGAGGGCAAAAGAGACGAGCGTTTCTTTTTCTTACGACCACAGTACATGTATTCAGCCTGACTTTCTTCCATCGGGGAAGAGCTTCTGGAAAGTTGCTGGGCCACAGGTTAGAGGGAGAGAGAATTCAGAAGGGAGATGGAGTACCAGCATGCCCTTGCTCACTCTGTTCCAAACTCAGCTAGCTGGACTGCTCAGCCAGAGAGACGGTCTCATGCCAGGGCGGGGCAAAAGGGAGCTTTTTCCGACAGGTGACAGCTTTGAAAAGGGTCCTCTCTCCGCATTTAAAACCAAACCCGTGGGAGGGAAGCCACAGGATTCACAGGAGGAAACGACTGGACTCCAAATGTATAATAAGGAACATCTATAGCAAAACAGCTCCCTGTCCCCCTTGGAAAGAAGCTGACTTTGAAGAGGGGAAAGAAGGGAGTTGAGAACAGGAGAAGGAAAGAGAGGTCAGTAGCTGAGCGATTCTCCAGGCCTGCAAACAGCACCTGCGAGGAGAGGAAGTCCACCTGGGCTGTGGGCTCGCCACTCGCCCACAGGTCGTCTCTAGTTTAATAAATACCTCCAACCATCTCACAATCCAGTGATTCTCCTAGTAATCCTATTTTATGAGCGAGGAACCCGCGGGGCTCAGGAGGATGAACTCACTTGCCCCTGACCACAGAGCTAATAAGGAGCAGAGCCCACAGCAGAGCCACAGCAGCGCACCGGGCAGTCCTGCTCTCTGACCAGGAAGCCCACTAATCATCAGGGGACCGGCCGGGTCCACAAGGGCAAACAAACAGAGAAAGGCCAACAGGCAGGTACACCCAGGCTGGGGGAAGAGGTGAGAAACCCAGCTGGCGGGGTGTGAGCTAGGACCCCTTGTGCCACCATCCGGAGAGCCTCTGGTCCCCTCACCCTCGGAGAGTCGGGGAGGCGATGCAGAGCACCCAGTACACGCCCTCCTTTTGTCCCCCCTGCCCGGGGGGCAGGGCCCCTGTGAGTCTTCTGGAACCGCACTAGCACCACACGTTTACTTCTCCCCGGGAGGCAGAAACAGCCCTTTCCCACCGCTGTCTGTTGGCGGGCACTAGAAAGAACACAGAGAAAGCCGGCAAGCCTTACCCCTTCCATGGCCTTCCTCCGAAGAACCGACGGATCCTTTGGGAGACGAACGCGGCTTCCCAGAGCGGTATCCTGGGGCCAAGACTGCTTTAATTTGCCTGCGTCCGCCAGGGAGCAATCACTTCCCAGAGCCCCGGACACACCTGGGCCCAGGCTCCCCCCACCTGCCCCACCAGGGCAGCAGCTCCTCCCTCTCCAGGGGTTGGAGCTTCCCGGCCCCAGGCTGGGCGCAGACCCGCCTCCACCCGCCGCCGAACTTTGCAGGGCACCCTGCATCTGCCGCAGGGAAGGGGTCCTCCCTGTCCAAAGACCCACCAACTGGCCCTTCATAGCTAGTGGCTCTCCCCCAGGCTGGCCCAACAGTCACTCTACAGAGGAGTTCACTTTGTGCCCCAGGCAGGAGGCACGGGGGAGCGGCTGAGGAACAGGGAGGAGGAGGGAGGGGAGGTGGTGGCAGGGCGCCTGTGAGTACCTAAGGCTCCGGCTGGGCTGGACGAGGTAATCTCCCTTAGTAAGTTACTAACAGCCTTGGCCCAGCCCCGCCTCTGAGATGGCTACTTAACTTCACCTAAGGCTCCCAAAGAGGACAGAGAGTACCAAAGCTTGCAGGGAGGGGTGGTGGAGGCCAGAAAGGAAGCTGCTATCATGGAGCACCTGTTGGGGGGCTGACATTATCGCATATGGATACATTCTTACATTAAGTCCTACCACACCCTTGGGAAGGGCAATTATTCTCACCTAAATGGCGAGGAAATTGAGGCTTAGAGAAATCCCATAACCTGCCCTGCAACCGTGGTCACAAAGGCAGTAAATTGAAGGATCAGGGTTTGAACCTGGGCCTGGCTGTGGCTAAAGTGGTTTTGTTTTTCTGGTGTGTGTGTCAGGGGTGGAGTAAGAGGGTGGAGGAAGGGGTTTTTGCTTTTGTTGTTTTGACTACTGGTGCTGGAAACCCAACCCTCATTTCCCAGGTCTCAAGAGCTCAGGGCTGCCCGGGGGTGGGTGCTGCTTGAAGCAGGTCTCTGTGATTTCTCTTTTGTTAGGGCTCAGCTGGAGCATGAAGCTGTCCAGGAGAGAGGAGGGAGGGGGGGAGGGGGAGAGAGGGAGGAGGAGGGGCAGAGGAGGGAGAGGGCAGGTGAGGAACGCCCACCTGCGTGGTTCTCATACCTGGCTGATCGTCACAGCCGCTAGGGCACCTATTAAAAATACAGGGTCCAAGTTCCCAAGGCGGACACGAATCGTCTCTAATCTAGGGTCTGGGAATATGGGTTTTAGGTAAGCTTTTTAGGTGTGTTTTAATAACTAATGATTTGCCGTAAGATCTGTCCTCTACATCATGAGCCTCCACGCCGACACACACGCATACCCACGTACTAACATAAACACTTCTCAAGATGATAATCACTCTTATATGGGCGTGATCATGCTGTTACTTTCTATTCTTCTCTGAGCCATGATGTGCCGTTCAATTTAAAAAATCAGTGGTCAGCACACCTCACTGCATTGATTTCTTAACTCACTTTGATCCACGCTGCAGCTCTGCTCACAACCAGCTTGGAGGTCCGTTCCTCCAAGGAAACAGGGCGCAGGCCAAAAACCGTAACTTTCCCTCTCACCCTGTCCTCCCTTCTGTTCAAGGCGATGAAGTCTTGTATACATTTGTAAATGATAAGACGGAAGGAGCTCTTTGGAGAATGAGGAGCCCTCCTCCCAACAACAGCTGGCAGTGGGGTTGTCAAATTCCCTTTGCTGTTAACGCAAGCACTCCCCCGGGGGGCTTCAGACCCGCCTGCGATGGTGGAGGCAGCGGGGGAGGGGGTCGAAGTGGGCGGGGCTGAAGGGGGCGGGGTTGAAGGGGCGGGGAGTGGGTCGCGAGGGTCTCCCCTCCCCGCCCTTGGAAGGACTTGGAGCTCTGTGGTTTTCAGTCTGGTTCAGGACAAGTTTCAATGGAAGGCCATAGGACATAGTAGGCATCAGTCATTGGTAGCTGTTAGGAGTGTTTTGCAAGTAGGCAGGCCTAAGGACCTGCGGAACCCCATAGGATCTCTTGTTATTACCTTATGATCCTCTAGGCCCTAGACCCAGTTTACCCCTAGCTGTTGGCCTCGGGAATGTCCACGACGCAGCCTCTCTGAGATGTGTGTTCCTTTTCTATAAAACTAGGTAAGAGGACTGGCAGTGCTGGCCCAAGGGTTTACGTGCCATGTGAACATCTCTACCGTGCTGAGCATTACATAAGCACCAAAGATATCCTTCCCCTTTTACCACCCTCTCTCCGCCTCAATTCATGGTGGCCGTGTCAGTGTCGACATGCATATGCTATACGTGGGTGTACAAATGATGTGACGTTGTTTGATTTCCCTGTAATGATCCCATTTTGCTTATAGGCCCCCATCCCATGGCGGCAGATCCTTCAGAACTCATATGTGCTTACGCTGGGGGGCGAGGGGGGGGGAGGGTAGAGACAGAAAAGGGAGATACAAGGTACAGACGTGGTGGGGAGGGTTCTGGCTGTGAAATCAGGGGGTTGATCGAAGTTTAGCCAGATCTCATTACACTTAGGAATGAATAACTCAATGGAAAAAGAAGAATGAGATCCTCTTACACATACAAGGTGCTTGGGTGGCCTGCCTCCAGCTTCAGACCAGGACTCTCCCCATGATCTCCACTTCATCATGGACAAGGAAATAACTGACAGACTGGTCTACTGCCCGCTGGGAACAGTGCCCCAGCCCTTAAAAACGTCACTTCATTTAGTCCTTATCATGACCCTGGTTTTTCCAGCTGAGGAAACTGAGGCACGTGGGAGTTAAACACCAATCTGGGGAAATGCAGTTGGCAAGTGGAAGGACAGACATTCCAACCCAGGCAGTCCACACTCACCACCACTCTGGTTTTTTACCATTTAAATTTTAGAGAAACACAGGATCTGAAATAAACACAGAATCTGAAAGCTTGAAGGTTTCTTCAGAGCGATTGTTTCCAAACCCAAGTCTGAAAGAAGTCAGCAGAAAGCTTAGCAGATACTTGGGCAAATTCTTGGCAGATATTTCTAGACATTTCTGTCTCTCAAGGCTCTAGTTTCAGTTTGCTCCTCTTGATAACTGGGGATGATGTGCCAAAGTCTCCAACGAGGTCCATTTTTTAGTACACTGAGCAGTAGAAATCTGTACTTACATCACATTCCTTTTTGGAAAAAAGTTTTATTTATTTTGGAGAGAGAGAGAAAGTGGGGGGAGGAGCAGAGAGAGAGGGAGAGACAGAGAATTCCAAGCAGGCTCCAAGCCTTGATCCTGACATCATGACCTGAGCCGAAATCAAGAGTCAGACCCCCTGAGCCACCCAGGCTCCATCACATTCCTGATGCTTGCTTTCGGTCTCACATACTGCCTGTAGCTTTGCGGCGTTTCCATTCACGTCTGTCTTTGATTTCTCGGCAAACACACTGCCTATACTTTGTGCCATAAGTGATGGTTTGTAACCGAGTACTCTGATGTAAAAAAAAAAAAAAAAAAAAAAAGGAGGATTTAAAAAATATCTGAAAATGGGACATCGTGTACATCCAGCTCTTTCTAGGGTGATCTTTGAGCACTCTATGTTATTACGATGACAAAGCCAGAGCACATAGATTGATTGTCAGAATTAGGATGATACCGCCGAAGCAACCTATTATTAATATTAAAATTATTATTGGTTCCATGAATCATTCCTGAGGATTTCCAGTGTAAGTGTAATTTATTTATGTATAATTTATATCCCGACTATTTTCAAAAGGGAGAGAAGGAGGAAGAAAGGAACTTAAATTTATTGAGAGTCTGTCGTGCCACAAGCTACAGAGTCCGCATATATTTTCTGCCATTCCTCATGACAATGTGGTGAGATCATTGGTGTTATCTGAGTTGATGAGTAAAGAAAATGAAGCTTAGGCGGGTGAAGGCAAATGCCCTGGCTATGTGGAGTACAGGTCTGCTTCTCTGGATCCACCCAGCCCTATGGCTCTGTCCCCCACTCCATGCTGCCCCCAGAAGGCCGTGAGGGAGTGAGCAACACAGAGCCCAGGAAAACAGGATGTTTATGAGGGAAGATGGTAGCCGTGCAGAGGACAGAAGGGATGGAAAGGTACGAAGGGATGGGTAAACGGTGCAGAAATGGGGTATGATAACTGCAAAGTACATAATGATCGGAAGGTACGTTATTTCAGGATAAAATGCCTAAAGTTAGCTTGGGAGGTACGTGGGCTCACGAAAGGGTCTGCTTCCTTTTCACCAGTGTGAGAGCCATAGCCCAGCTGGTTGCTCTTTTTCCTTGAAGGAAGCTCACACCTCAATTCTGTGCTCGTCTAAATACTCATCTTAAAAATATATCGTGATTTAGTAAGAACTTCCTTAAAGGAGGCTAAGTGCTTAGCCTGACCTGGTCATTGCTTAGCATGACCAAGGCAAACTGCTTTCCTTTTATTATCCTTGTAACGAAGCATTTGAACCCCTACTCTGTTGCCAGGTGCTATGTTTGGAGCTGGGGATGTAGCGACCTTTTAGATTCTTGAAAGGAAACTGGCTTCCTCCACTAATGCCGTTACGTTATGTATGCATCACTCAGATGAATTAGTAACATGTTTTCAGACATGCTTACTTTGTTGAGATAGAAGGGAGGCCACTCCCCTGTGGGAAGGACACGGGGCTTGCCTGGAAGTATGGAATCATTCCCAATACCAACGGCTTTCACGTCGCATCATTCAGAAAAGTGGGTCCTCAGATGGAAAAATCAGGCGGGGGCCCCCCCCCCCCCCCTAGGTCTTGTTTTCTTGGTCTGGACTTGAGGGCACAGAAATACTACATGACTGCAATGCTTGAGGGCTCAGAGTACTAGGAAAGAGGAGAGGTAGGTCTCCCCAAGAAGCCGACTGGCACATGAACTGTGAATCATAATTTGGGGAGCTGATTTTCACAAGTGTTTGAAAGCTTTATTTAAGAATGAGACCTGCTTTCCTTGCAAGGACGTAGGGAGGCAGAGCTTCTCTCCTGCACCCGTGTACACATTCCATTCTCTAACCGCTCCCTCTTAAACACCGTGCCTGTGTTCTGTGGACTTAAGACATGTGTGGGCATTCTCGGATAGTAGAGATCAGAGGCCTCTGACCTGTGGCCGAAGGACAGGAGTGTGGCAGACAGGTGGTCTCAGGGAAGACCGAGGCTGAGGGCGCATAAACCCAGGTAAAAAAAAAAAAAATAAGCGAACTATCAACTCTCGCTTACTCTCTGTTTATTCCTCATGTATTGTTTCCCCAATCTTTGGTAAAATCTAGGATAGTTGGATACTTAACCTCAGCTCTAGCATAGTGGAAAAGGAAGCAGCGTGGTCCGCATTTGGGGTG